CAGAGGGTACTGGGGCACTGAATAGGAACCACAGGGAATGGTCACAGCCCCAGAGCTCCAGGAGATTTTGGACAACACTCCCGGGTCAGGGTGGGGTGTCTGTGCAGAGCCAGGAGCTGGGTTGGATGATCCTTGTGGTTCTCTTCCAACTCAGGGTATTCTGTGATTCTGTGGCTATGTCAATTGCAGGGACCGCTAACCCAGATTAAGCTGATTTTATGACAGTGAAGCACAAATGGGTGGGTTACAAATTGCAGGACAAGGAGGCTAATCATATATCATGAAAAGCTAATGATGATATGCAAAGAGATAGCCAAACATCCCATTGCCTGGTCAAGGTGTAGATGGGTAGGAAGGTGGTCACCTTTCTTATTTGAAACTAAAACCTAGGCAAAACTGATCTCTGCTTAGGTTTGATTACAAGCACAAATCTCAGGTTGGGGTCATCAAAATTCCAGGACACGAGCTGAGTATTGAGTGAAGTGAGAGCTCAGATTTCCAGCAGGTCCACGTCATGTTTAGACTCAAGCTCAGCTCTCAGGCTGGGGATCTACAGTTGCAGAAAAGAAGGTGATGAGCCTAAGTGGTTTTAACTGGAAACCACTCCAAACTAAGGTCTGGAAAAGTGATGCTTTCTATTATCTGTTATATGAAGAATAAAATGGTGTCAAAGCAAAAAAAAAAAAAAAGTTTTCTAATAGAGCTGCTTAAAAGTGGCATCTTGCATAATTTTCCTCTGCCTCTCCTTAGATTTTGGATCATTATTCAAGCTTGAAACTGGAGGGGAATTCTGATTTGGCTTGTTTTGTAGGCACTGTTATGTTGGCATTTTTTTGGCTTGTGTTTGCTTTCCAAAGTGGGAAACTACATCAACATTTGCATTTTTTATTCTTATTTTAACCCCTTCTCAGGCTCACCTTCAAGACAAGACTTGAGACCCCATATGTATTTCAAACTTTTTTTTTTTTTCCCCCTTCACTGGAGTGATTTCACTTTTTATTTTCTCTGATTGAAAGAGGAAAAACACAACAGGTGTTATTTTATCAAACTCTCCAGAACCACACGTGCTTAGGCAGATAAGGGCCCAGAAAGGACCATGTAGGTCTGATTCTATTAGGATTGAAGCCTTCAGGAGGGCAAACATAGGAGGCAGCATGCCAGGGGTATTCATGCAGTGTCTTACGCTGTTTATAGGTGTATGTCAGATCTGATGTTGATATCTGTGTCTCTAGGAATGGAAATAATAAATTGAGTCAAGAGTGCCCCCCTAGAGAGATCAGGATGACTCCCACCTCTTCACTGTGTCCTGCTGCATGACATGGTATTATCAGCATAAGAGGATGTTTATCTGTGTCCAGGTACTGCTGCTCCCTTTTCCTCTTTCACCTGGGGTCAATCTCTACAGCCAGCCTCACCAGGACTTTAAGGGCTTTAAAATATCCCTGCAAACTCTGCAAGTCTTCACTTGGTGTGAACAATACTGAATGTTTCTGTTCTGGACCTCATCTGGACGTCCACCAACAAGCCAGTGCGCAGGCTACTCTTGCTCTGCTTCTCATCTTGTGTAGTTGAAAAACACTTTCCTGTTCTCCCAGAGCTCCCAGGTGCCTTCCTGCTCCCTTCCTGTCTGCTTGGTGGGCCTGCTGCTCTGTCAGCACTGTGTTCTCCGTGCCTGCAAGCCTATTTCTGTGCACACCAGACCAAGAAGGTTCTCCAGTGCCACACCTGAGTGGACAGAGCCTCCCATCTGCCCCACTCCCACCCACTCTGCAGATTTGGGCTGGTGCTTCCCAACAGCAGAAGGCAAACTGTGGCACAGGAGAACACCTGAATCACAGAATCGTGGAATCATTCAGGTTGGAAAAGACCTCTGAGATCATCAAGTCCAACCTGTGACCAAACACCAAACCATGTCGATAAACACTTCTGGAGATGGGGAATTCATCACACCCTGGACAGCCTCTTCTGTTATTTAGTCACTCTTTCAGTAAAGAAATTCTTCCTAATGTTCAATCTGAACCTCCTGTAGTGCAGCTTGAGGCTGTTTCTTCTTATCCTGTCCCTTGTTCTGTGGGAGCACCTGGCTGCACCCTCCTGTCAGGGAGTTGTGCAGAGCCAGAAGATCTACCTGATCCTCCTTGTCTCCACGCTGTGCCCCTTTCCCAGCTCCCTCAGCTGCTCCTCATAGGACTTGTGCTCCAGACCCTTCCCCAGCTCTGTTCTCTTCTGTGGACATGCTCCAGCCCCTTACTATCCATCTTGCAGTGACAGGTGCAGAACTGGACACAGGATTTGAGGTGTGGCCTCACCAATGTCCAATACAGGGGGACAATCATTGCTCTGATCCTGCTAGCCACACTATTGCTGATCCCAGCTGGATGCCACTGGCATTCTTGCCCACACGTTGGGTCACATTCAGGCACTGTCACCAGCACCCCCAGGCCCTTTCCCTTTCCAGACATTTTGCCCCAGACTGGAGCACTTCAAAAAGCTGTTGGGGCCAAAGTGTAGGACCCAGCACTTGGCCTGGTTGAACCTCAAGTCCCCCCTAATGACCACAGCAGTCTAATTGTCTCCTATCTTTGGGGCCTTTGCTTCCTGAAAACAGTTGATAAGAAAGATCCCTTGCTCAGGCAACACCTCTGGCCATAGAGGGAGGTGTGTCTGGGTGTCCATAATCTGTAAGGACAGCCAGCACTGCTCTGGAAGGCAGCCTGCAAAGGCCTGTGTCCTCTGAGAACACAGTCCACCCACTGAGACCAGCCCCAGCCAGTCAGTTGTGTGTTATACTCAGCTGGCATCCCTTTACCATGCAAGCTAGGGCCTTTTCTTCCCTGTCCTCAAATTCAGGACTGTCCTAGATTACAATGTAAGATGTAACCAAAAGCATGTATTTTACCACCAACTTCATAAGCTGTTAAAACCAGGTGGGGCAGTGTTCCTTATCTCCTTCATGACTCTTCCCTGATAACTCCAGGGGATATCTTCTGTTAATGGGCCATCAAGCCTCACTGCATGACTCAAAAATTACATCATCCCATTGGAAGATGCTCTGCCCAGGGGGAGGAACCAAGCATTCCTCCCTGGATATAATCTGAGACTTGGAACACCGCGGGCAGCTTTATCCACTGCATTCCCAGAGGACTGGAGCTACAAAACCACCATGGGACCTTCAGAGGAAGACCCGACCCTTCTACAGGACCACTGCTTCAACAGAGCCACATCTATCACTTCAAGAGGACTGCAGTCACCATTTAATCGGGCTGCTACCACCACCCTGACCAACAGGGTAACAGCTCTGACATGGGATCTCCCATTGGTTTGTGTTCAGACTAGAACAAGGGCTTGCTATAATTCATGCAATGCTGCTCCAATTTCTTTCCCTAATTCCTATTTTTCCCAGGGGTTGCTCCCTGTAAATAGGCTTCCTTCAGCACGAGGTGTACATTTCCCACCTTCTTTACAAGTCCCTCCAGTCTTTCCATTTGTTTTTTGTTTTATGTTGTTCTGGTCTTTCTCTACTTACCTGTTCAGAACCCATCCCCCTTCAACTCTAAATTGCTTTCCCCTTTCCTTTGCACTTAATTTTTTGTCTTTTCTAATTAATCTCCCTGCAATGCTGAGATGCTAATAAAATCAGAGGGAGAAAGGATTTTTTTTGGGACCCAGAGTTTGCTTGAAAGCTGATAACCTTGCTAAAGCAGATTTAAGAGATGCTAGGTGCAGCCTTGCTCTGTGTGCAAACCTTGACTCAGCACATATGCAAACAGCTCTAAAAATAGCTTGCACTTTCCCAATTCACGTGATGCATGTGCCATAATTCTGCACTGTGCTTTCCAAAAATAGCACTCACACACCATTGGCTGGTCTAAATCTGTGGACATTTAGCTTTTTCAACCCAGGCATCGCAGCACGTGGCTGTACAGCTTTTTCACAGAGGGATTTTTCTCCTGGGTGCCTCCCCCTCTATTCACAAAAATTAAGAGATTTATCCCTTCCCCTGTGCAATTGCTTAAGATCCCCGTGGCAACTGCAGAAGCTTCTCATGAGGAGAAATTATATTAGGTGTTGGCTCAAAGGTATTTTTAGCTTCTTACCATGCTCTCTAGCAGCTGGAAGCAAAGAGGTAACCCATCACCTTGAAGCCAGCCAATTCCCCTGGAACAGCAGCGAGGGCTCTGCAGAGCAGCAACCCAGAAACAGCAGCCTGACAAGCAGGGCTTGTTTGCACACAGATCTGAGCAAGAAGCTTAGTTAGAAACTGAATGAAAGGCTCCTCTCCTGTATTTCAGGGATGGAGACTGAATGAAGGGCTTCTCTCGTATTTCAGCGATGGAGACTGAATGAAAGGCTTCTCTCCTGTATTTCAGGGATAGAGACTGAATGAAAGGCTTATCTCTTGTATTTCAGGGGAGTAGGTGAGCTTCTAGGATAGGACTGAAAATGCAGGGCACTGATCTGATCATTGGGATCAAGGCCAGGGTGGATGGGGCTCTGAGCAACCTGGGCTAGTAGGAGGTGTCCCTGTCCATGGAGGGGAGTGGAACGAGATGAACTTCAATGCCTTTCCAGCACAGACCGTTCTATGATTCTGTGATGACCATTTATTTGGAATAAAGCAGCTAGGGAGTTGGGGAGCCATGTTTGCATGGTCCAGCACAACTCCAGGGCATTATGGGTCAAGGGATGCCTCACAGATTTCTACCCACACTTCAGATCTTGGTTACACACCCACTGTGGTACAGGCACATGAATAGGAAAGCAAGAGTATACACCCCATGAAGGGACACTGCAAATTCCTTTGAGGACTTCTGTTGCAAAAGCAGATGTGGCACAGACACAGAGAAAAAGCACACACAGTGTCCATTCAAATGCAGCCCAAAATGTACAAGAATAAGTCTGTCCCATCAGGCCTTAAAGTCAGAGTAGGCACTGTTCTTCCTGCAGCTGTGGTGAGCAGCTCCTATCTAGTGCAGCAGAAACATGAGGAGCATCCATACCTTGTTTCCAGTGGTCCTGCTGGGTGATCCAACACTGCTTTAATCCCATATCAGTGGTCATTAGTTGTGCAACAGCCTGAGAGGAGAAGACAGATGTGATATATGAGTCTGTCATTTAGCAGATAAGGTCTCCAAGTGCCTGTAGGGGTAAGAACAGATCTGAAGCAAAGGACAGCGTACCTTCTTGGAGCTGTGCAGCACTAAGGGCTGGCCTCGGTGATCCTTGTAGGTTCCTTCCAGCTCAGGAGGTTTCACAATTGTATATTCTATGATCTATCAGGCTGACAACACTGATATATCCTCCAAGCCTGAGGAAAGGAATTTAACCTGCAGAAAATCCAGGGACTGAGAGATAGCCTGGGCCAAACTCATTTGGGATCAATATAGCAAGGTCCCAGCACATCACACCTCCTTTCCCTTATCTGAATTGCCTGCTACTACCATTACCTTGCTTATCAAGTCCTGCTTTATACTTATTGAACTCCACCAGCTTTGCTCCTAAAATATACCAGCACACAAATATGCTGGCATGACTCAGAGGTGGTAACATCAGTGGGGATTTTTTTGCATAGCAAGAATGTTTAAAGATAAAAATTAATGCAGCTACTATAGGGGCAGAGAGAGAAGTCAAGGAACAGGCAGTTCAAATCCCGTTACCTGTGGGTATCTTTGCAAGCAATCATAGCCCCTGACCAAGGGCCTTTCATATCTGCTTCAGCTCATGGTGGAGATGCCTAACCCTTAAAAACAGGCACTGAAGGGGAAACTTCTTGAGGGTTTGCAGCTTTCCTTCTCTTCAGCCATCTTCACTGCAACACCAGTGTCTATCACTCCATTATTCCCTAGGAAAATAGAGGGAATTTCTGCCAGGTAAGACCTGGGGGTGCTGCTGGGTGAGAGCTGACCCTGCCCCAATTGTGTGTGCTGGGACTCAGAACCCCCCTGTTCTGGGCTGAGCCCTCAGTGTGGGCAGCAAGGGAGAGGAGGGGGAGATTCTTCCCCTCTGCCCTGCACAGGTGAGATGACCCCCCCACCCCACCCCCCACCCTACAGAACTGTTTCCATCCCTGGGATCCCAGGAAGAACAGGGAGCTGCTGCAGCCAGGCCACAGCAGGGACACCAAGGGCATCAGAGGGATGGAGCAGCTCTGCTGGGAGGAAAGGCTGAGGGAACAATTGGGATTGCTCAGCCTGGGGAAGAGAAGGCTTTGGGGTGACCTCATTGTGGCCTTGCAGTGCCTGAAGGGAACCCACAGGAAAGATGGAGACTCTTGACAAGGGTCTGGAGTGACAGGATAAGGAAGAATGGCTTCACACTGACAGAGAGTGGGTTTAGACTGGGTATCAGGAAGAAATTCTTCCCTGAGAGGATGATGAGGCGTAGGTTTCCCAGAGAAGCTGTGGCTGCCCCATCCCTGGAAGTGACCAAGGCCAGGCTGAATGGGGCCCTGGTCTGGTAGAAGGTGTCCCTGCTCAAGGCAGGGGATTTGAAAATGGATGATCTTTTAGGTCCCTTCCAACCCAGTCATTCTATGATTTTATGATTCTTATCACTCCTGTCCCAACCTTTCAACTCCCATCAGATTTTCAGGTTCCTACAAGCCACTCCGACCTGGGGCTGCTGACTGGGCATGGGTCATGAAGGGTGTTTGAAAGGATGTCTCTGAGATTAGGCTCTGCTCCATTCCCCCATGAACAGAGTGGGTTTGGCTCTTGCTGGAACACCTCCGCTGCTCAGCGGTGCAGACGGAGCCCACAGCCCCGCTGAGCTGGCACAAACTGTGGGCTAGAGCTAGCGCAGAGGAGTTGGTGTGTGACAGACAGGCTGGTTCCTCCCTCCTGGGTCACCACAGAGCTCCTGGATGTCACCGTGCAGATGTGGGTGGGGATGTGAGCGTGCTCTAGGCTGCCATTCCCTCTGAGGAAAGGCAGCCTCATTTGTGAGGAGCTCTGAAAAAATTCCCTGCTAACCTCCCAGCCATCTGCTGTGGCAGTTGTACCTTCAGAGACAGCCAACCAGCTCAGCTGCCAGCAGCATGAAGCAGAACTGGTGTCTTCTCAGAGTATGGGGGCTGCTGCCAACAGAACTTGAAGACAGGCAGTTTTCCTGGGGGCTTCCAAATGGTTGTTCTTTGTCCAGTGGCATGAAATATAAGAAGAGTATGAGGCACCTGCGATGAAATGCAAACCTAGGCAAAACCCACCTGGTTTGATTACAAATGTGATTCTCAGGTTAGGTTCACAAAAGTTCAAAGGTCTCCTGGTGAACATGAGATGGGCCTTTTGAGAACCAGAACTAGATGCTGTGAAATTTAGAGCCCTGAGCAACCCTTTGAGATCAAGATATGAGTGAGGAGGCAACAAATAAAGGGACAGGCTTGTGTAAGAGGCCGTGACTCTGTTTTGGAGGGCTGAGTGCCCAGTCAGCAGCCCCAGGTCACTGCTGTACTTCCACTGCAAACTGGGTATCAGCACTTTGGAGCACTGCTATCCCAAAGGAGTGGCTTGTAGGAACCTGAAAATCTGATGGGAGTTGAAAGGTTGGGACAGGAGGGATAGGAATCATAAATCACAGATTGATTGGGTTGGAAGGGACCTAAAAGATCATCCATTTCCAAATTTCCTGCCATGAGCAGGGATACCTTCCAGGTGGACATATTCCAGGTTACTCAGTGCCCTGTCCCACTTGGCCTTGGACTCCTTGCTGCATGATGCTGTGGATGGTAGCTGTTTACAAGGATTCATCTGGTCAAACACATGGAAGAGAAATCCCTTGAAGATTTATATTTGAAACAAATTCCACCAACTTGTGAAGCTTCTGGATGTTTACTGGGTTCAGGGAGTGGACTCAGAGCAAGAACAGCACAAAGAGTCATTCCTGTGTACTGCAATATTTTCTTGACCAGCACTCAGGGTCCAAAGGTGCACAGGTACTTACAATCTCAAGTTTTACTAAAACAAGGGAGTTTAAGTTTCTATGCCTTTGTGATTCCGCTGAAGGTGGCTCACCACCTCCCACAGAGACTTTTTCTCAGTCTTCCCATGACATTCACACAAGTGGCAGATGGAGTAGGTGCTCCACACGTGTGGTCTGTAAAATCAATGTTAATAGGCACAGCTGAGCTAGTACAGCCCAAGGAGCAAATCCATGTGGTTGAAGGGCAGGAATTGTTCTCTTGGACAGTGTTGTCTACAGCATGGCTTAAAGCATCCATGAAAGGTTAAATTCAGACATCATCCCTCACATTTGTGAGGGGGTCAGAGCATGACTTGGGCAAATACTACATTGAAGTGATGTGTGATTATCCTCTGTGAAGAGGCCTTGGCACAGGTTGCCCAGAGCAGCTGTGGCTGCCCCATCCCTGGAAGTGTCCCAGGCCAGGCTGGATGGGGCTCTGAGCAACCTGGGATAGTAGATGGGCCCATGGCAGCGGGGTGGATCCACATGATCCTCAATGTCCCTTCCAAGCCAGACCATTATGTGATTTCTATGGAGCCACCAGAGCTCAGTGATAAATCTTGCTTCCCTTGCAGACAAATGTTCCCCCACATCAACTACTTTGACTGACATGAGTGGAGCACTGCCAGCTTACACCAGCAGTACATCTGCTCCCACATCTTTACATAACCGTTCCTGAATTTTTTTCCTTTTTCTTTTTTTTTTTCCTCCACACAGGTAAAAAGAAGCTGTGATTATGCTGGATTCATTCTAGAAACTCCACCAAAATTGATGATACCATGGTGATTATAACGAATATTTGCTCCTGTTCATATTTTAAGCCCTTTAAACTCTTCCCCATGTTTCTTTCAGAGATGGGCTGTTAAATTCGTTCCCAATATAAAAGGCAAGGAAAAAAAAAAAGCTTTTAAAAAACATTAAACATGATGCAAGACTTGGGACAAACCTGATTTATAGTCACTCTAGATGATCTAATAATGTACAGATCAGGTTCATGCAGCAGTGAGCAATTTGATGGTCAGACCAACAGTGTTTCAGAAAAGGGGAAAGCCATGAGGCAAGCAAAAAGGATGCACTGTGGAAATGAAACACTTCACAGTGGGGCTCTGCTTGCAAAAGCATTTTTGCCCTCAACATTAATGTTTATCTGTTCTAAAGCATCACCTATGGTAAATGCCAGGCACGTTTACTATAGGCACTGTGTTGACATCACCCTAGAGAAAATAACAATGGTTTGGCAGCCTGCAAAGTCTTTTTAAAAATAGGCTGTGAAGCCCCTGAGAAAACGACAGGCTCTAAAAATAGGACTAAAGCTGAGGAAAGAAAAAAAAAGTGCAGCTTTCCTCATGCTAAAGCTCAGGGTCAGCTGCAAAATGTGGGGTTCCTTCAAGGACACACAATGAATGCATTGCAGTGTTCTGCAATGAATGAAAGCTCCCCCTCTGAGTTTTTTCCTGTACTGCAGGACTCACAATGAGGGGGAAAAAGGGAAAAGGCAGAATTTTAGCAAGTTCAAGTAAGTACAATCTAGAGTTTCCCCTCCTTCCTACCCCTGACCAGCCCTTGACAAAAACATCTCCCAGAAGTTTGCTTCTTCCTCCACACACACCCCTGTTTCTGTTCTCCAGTGCCAGTGTTCTTTCTCACAAAACCAGATTTTGTGAGCACATCTTTGCTGCACTGGCACAGAGACAGATCTCAGGAGGCTGAGAAAATAATTGTAATAACCCAAATAATTGCAAGCAAGCGTCCCAGATTCTTGGTCATTCGTGATACAGCAAGTTGGACATCCCATTTTCAATTTTCATGCCCAAATATCGAGATAAGACATGAGGCTTCTGCAGGAGTTTAGACCCTCCTTTTGGCCCACCACTGGTAATTTTTAGTATTATTCTCTCATAGTTATGAAATAAAACCAGAGCCCTCCAGTGGCCAAAAGCACACCAGTAACCTTGCTGGAAGCTAACCAGAGATGGACTCCAAGATAGCTGCCCTACTTTAACTTGGTGCCAGCCAACAACCAATTTGGGAAGGGCTAGACAGCTGCAGTCAGTGGGATGTACTGGGACAGACACACGTGAGGACTGTGGCATCCCTTGGTTTAAAATCCTGGCATCACTAGCGGAGAAGACACTAATGAAAATGGGGAGCCACTTAAAATGGGCATGGTCATGTGTTGGGAACAACCTGATTTCCCTTAGAGAGTGGCAGGGGAGGAAGGGGCTAACCTGAGTTTTTGACAGGAGTGCAATGGAAAGGCAAGCTAGTGGCACAGCCACAGGTCAGGCACTCCAGAAATGCCACTCTGTCACCTTAGAGGATAGCTGTGAACCTCCAAGGAATTCTCTTCCTCTAAGGTAGGCAACAAATTCAGCCAAACAAAGTTGTGCCTGTGCTATAGGCAGCTGCTTGACAAGCAGCTGCTCAGTGTAGATATTTTGTTTGCTTCACCAGTTGCCTCAATGCACTTCTTCTTTCTCCAGCTCTGGGTTATTTACCAAGGAGTGGATTCAGCTAAGCCCTGTGTGTGTGTGTG